TGGGTATCTTCTCCTACTTTTATGTTATTTTTGAATTTTCTATGATTTTTTTTATTTTCAATTGGACTGATATTTTTTCAAAACTCCAATATGTTTCAAGGGTATGAAACCGCTTATATTATTAAATAAAGGCAACAGTAGTATACAGCTGTTCAAAAGTCATAAATCGATTGAGAGATTACAAATCCTGGTTACAAACTGAAACCAAGGGAAACACATCAACTATAAAAGAAATCAACGAAACAACAGAAACACTGAAGTTCAACAAAAACAAACGCCAACATACATAGAAACGCACTATTCGATAACAACTGCCAAATTCCTGACTTGGTACAGGACATTTTAAGAAAAAATGGTGGGTTGAACCTGGTTTTATGACTAGCCAAACCTCCCGTTTTACGGCAATATCAAACAGTATATCGCCTAAATGACGACACTACGTGACTGGAATACAGCACGAACAAACGCAAGAACACTCAGCACAGAGAAACGCACAATAATAATATCATATTATGTAAAAACATGTAAACCGCAGAATAGCAACGAACATCCTCCATTGACGACAGCATAGGACATCACAAACAGTGATGTTTTTGTGACGAATATATAATCTTGAAATTCATATAATTATTTTCACAATGCTAGTCCAAATAATTATCATGATTATGACGGTTTTAAAAGGCTATATCATATATTAACTCATATATACCCAATCACATGACGTTAAGCCAGGCTGTTATTGAATTACAAGAAGAGGTTCCTTTGAACTGTGATTTGCTTAATCCCTAGTTTTGATAAATGCTATAAATTTTAGCATAAAATTGAGAATGGAAATGGGTAATGTGTCAAAGAGAAGACAACCCGACCAAAGAGCAGAAAACAGCCGAAGGCCACCAATGGGTCTTCAACACAGCGAGAAAATCCCACACCCGGAGGCGGGCGTCAGCTGGCCATGTTCAGTTTGTAGTTTTTTTTTAAACTAATATAAAATCACAACACGATAACAATAATTATACAAAATACAAATCTGTACTAGGAAACATAGATAATTTACTGCAAAACTGAATTTGTGATCAATAGGGATATATAAATACTGGTTACTATTATCTTATATAGTACTTACGATCTGAACTTAAAGATTTCAAGAACCAACAGTATTGTCATTTTTAGCAAGAATCCTCCTTTTCTATGACAATCATTCTACAAAAAAATCTCAAATTCAATGTTAGCACAGGATGAGTGTTTTTTCTTCTATTTATTGATAATTTGTGTAATATATGCAAAGAACATGGCCGTTTTACACTGCAATTTTCACCTGAATTTCTAAATTTTAGCGAATGGTATTCAGAAATCAGTTAAATATATTACAAGTCTTTATATTTGTTTCTGTTTTTTTCAACTATCAGAAACTCCGCGCTTCATACAAAATTAACTTCAGGTCAACGCTTTTACACCCCAATACATTTACAAAAAGAAGCATTCAATTCTTACCCCATCAAATGTTTGACGATAGTTTTTAAAATCGTGTTTTAATTTTATTTTGTTGTTCCTGGATTTTGACATATTTCATCCATAATAACCAGGATAACAGAAACGTCAACATAAAAATAAGAAGATGGGGTATGATTGCAATGAGACAACTCTCCACCAGAGACTAACTGACATACAAATTAATAACTATAGGTCACCGTACGGCCTTCAACAATGAGAATAAACCCTTTCTGCATAGTGAGCAATACATTGCTCCGAGATGACAAATGCAAAACATTTCAAATGAGAAAACTATCAGCCAGGGCCCGTATGCATAAAACCATTTTAGTAAAGAAATCCAATCGTAACACTAATTTATCGTTGGACATGTAGAAAAATCCTTCCGTTCGGAACAAATCTTAACTTAAGTAGCTTTATGTATACGGCCTTGATTTCTATTGATAATGGTCATGAAACTATCAACAACAGTGAATTGTTTAACTACAGTATGCAAGTTCACAAGTTCAACCAGTAGAATAAGTCTTGACGCGGTTTAAAATTGTTTCATTTTGTAATAAATTTTAACACTAACGTAATTATTACGCCATTAGTCTTTCAAGAGATGTTTTTTTTTATATTGAATCTCTCAGCTTCAAAAATAAATACTAAAATCGACGGATGCGATTATTACATCTGCACATATCAATCAAATTACATTTAAATTGATGTGTTTCTTCCACCTGCACATATCAATCAGATGACATTTAAATTTATTTGTGTATTTGTCTTGCACATATCAATCGGATAACATTTAAATTGTTTTGTGTATTACACCTGTACATATCAATCGGATTACATTTAAATTAACTAGTTGGAAGAAATAATTACATCAAGTGTTATTTTCAATTACTTTTAAGGTTCAATAAAGCAAATACAAAACGTCTTTTCACGATTACCACTTGTTACATTTGACACTATAAAACAGTCAGTCATAATCAACTGTGAGATTCAATTGTTTTAAAACGATTTTATATGAAAATATTTATGTACATACCATTCCGTAAATCAACTGTCTATCTAAATACGATGAACTTATTTGCTGTAGTTCAATCATGATTCCACCATATTTAGATATAACTACGCATGAAAATAAAATTGATGATTGGATGGTGTTTAACGCCACTTTCAACACTCATTTCGTGCTATTTCGTGGCGGATGGTTTTTATTGATGAAGAAAGCCGGAGTGCCCGGAGATAACAACCAACCTTAGGTAGGAAAACTCGCAATCCTAGTCAATTAAGATTGGAGTCGAGTGTGGTAAAAATAAAAGGATTCACAGTTATTGTAACCATGTGATCGCGTGAAACTTTCCTTCACATGCATGAATTCAATTTCCGATCGAATACATCAAAGAATTAATAATGAAAGGTTTTTGTCATTTGTTCCAGCACTTGACTATTACAATTTGGAGCATATACTCGTTGTATATTCAAAAGAATTATGTGTCTACAAAGGTTAGGGTGATTTACACATTGTATACAATGCTATAAAGTTGATCAAAATCTTGATAAAGGGACTCTTTTAATCGTCTATAATCAACGTTGGAGAATGATTGTTTTATTAAAGTATCATCCGATGACATAAAATCTCCTTGAACGTAGATGAAATACAATATCTTATATGGGTGTCACTTGTATAATAATCTGCTTATCTGATTTGATGTTTATCACATTGTACCTATCGATAACTACATGTATGTGTTCTTATAAATGTCATTATTTATAGATATAAGAAGATGTGGTATGAGTGCCAATGAGACAACTCTCAATCCAAGTCACAATTTGTAAAAAGTAAACCATTAAAGGTCAAAGTACGGCCTTCAACACGGAGTCTTGGCTCACACCGAACAGCAAGCTATAAAGGGCTCCAAAAATGACTAGTGTAAAACCATTCAAATAGGACAACGGTCTAATCTATATAAAAAAACGAGAAACGAGAAACAATTATGAACCACATCAACCAACGACAACCACTGAACAACCTTTTAACAACAGGTTCCTGACTTAGGACAAGCGCAAACAAATGCAGTGGGTTTAAACGCCATTTTTTTTCCTTCGCCAGAAAAATATCAAATTTAAAATTACATGATTGTCCAAAAAAAGTTAACAAGATTCCTTTGGGTCGATATAATCATTACATATGAAATCAGTTGCAACAGTTGTATTTCGGTCGTTCGACTGGTTTGACCCGAGCTCAACCGAGTCAAAAGGTGGGAATGGAGTACAAAGTAATGATACTGGTGTATATATAATGAGTGTTTACCATGTTTGGTTGAGACAACTGCTGGTGGACGTTTCATCCCCGAGAGTAGTCAATTCTCCTGTGGCGATATGATATACCATTGATAGGTCATTTGTTTTGTAATTATACTGCATGTTCATTTTTGGAACTTTTTTTTTTAATGGTCCTCAAATTCTTAATTGATTTGGTTCCAATTGTTTTAACTCGAACGCTACTGATGGTTCTTGTGTAGACTTAACGCGCATACATGTATATCGTAAAATATAAAATCTTGTATTTTTGAAGAGGTTTTATTGATATTTAAACATCAGTAATATTTCTAGAAATACAGGTAAAAGACAAATACTTTTAAAAATGGCATTAACGCCAAAAGGGGCGAGGCTTGATGCGTTAAAAAGATTAAGTTTTCTGCTCAACAATTGCCAAAATCCATGACACATGACAACCCACCATGATGACGTTTTCTTATCAAAAAACGGTCAATACTTTTGTTTTGCTGATGCAGACCATGTGCCAGTGATCTAACAAAATGCAAATATGTGAGACCTTAAATATGCACGTCTAATTACAATTCCATCCTCGATTTACTTTTAACCATGATAAATCAGGTATGAACATACTGTAAGAATTGATAAATGAACTCATCATGAAAAACAACAAGTCGGAAAGACAAACGTTAAACGTCTATTGAACAGAAAACTAAAGTTTGATCATCACAAACCATCCAAACAAACAATACAACGTTTTTACACTACCAGGGCACCTAAGTTTGCCTTGATATCCTTCTCGGTGGTTTTTATTCATTCACTGTTTGCATGACTTGAGACAATTGGGAAGTTTAACTTAATATAGTGTATTCTTTTGTAAATTATAGAAAACTTCTGGCTCGTATATGTAATTTTTTAATTCGTCATGTTCAACTTGTTCGCATATGTGTAATTGATATATGTTTATTGAAACAGATTCCTATTTATGATAGATAAAATACACAATTAGGAATAAATAAATGGGAGAAAAAATTATCACTTCGCGCGACCGAAGACCTTTTTGGGCTTACTTTGATAAAAAATTATCATACTGCCACATTAGGGATGTATAAACAGATTTATAAGGAAATATTTGACCAAAATGGACCGAAAAAAATAGGCAAATACATGTCTTAATCAAATGCAAAATATTACATATACGACCGGATTCAATATGGGAAAGAAATAAAAAATAACAAACATTCTGTTAAAAAAACTGAAAAGAAAACTTTAAAAATTTTATTTTGAAGAAACACAATATTTTATCAACAAAGAATAACTCTGAGCAACTCTCATAATAGACTTAAAAAAAAGTTGGAGAATTAAAGCATAGTTATTGTTAATGTTTCTCACAAATAAATGAAAATTTATGTGAACATTGAATGTCATTCCATTTATATGTAAGAGCACTACTCATATGTACACAATCTTCTTCACCAGCATTATTAGGTTCGCCTGGATTCCAGTCGGTATAAGTTAGCACTGTATTATCGGATTCCCATATAAAACGAGATTCTTGTACAGAATCATGAGCTCCAATCCACACGTGACCTGGGTTTTTAGCTGAAAATAAACATCGTGCTTTGTATCTATCTGATGAGTAAAGAACTTTTCAACTGATTTTTATAGTTTGTTCATATGTTGTACTGTTACACCACTGTCCCAGGTTAGGGGAAGGGTTGGGCGCCCGCTGATATGTTTAACCCCGCCACATTCTATATGTAAAATTGAGAATGGAAATCGGGAATGTGTCAAAGAGACAACAACCCGAACATAGAGCAGACAACAGCCGAAGGCCACCAATGGGTCTTCAATGCAGCAAGAAACTCTCGCACCCGGAGGCGTCCTTCAGCTGGCCCCTAAACAAATATGTATACTAGTTCAGTGATAATGGACGTCATACTAAACTCCAAATTATACACAAGAAACTAAAATCAAAAATGAAACAAGACTTACAAAGGCCAGAGGCTCCTGACTTGGGACAGGCGCAAAAATGCGGCGGGGTTAAACATGTTTTTTGAGATCTCAACCCTCCACCTATACCTCTAGCCAATGTAGAAAAAACAAACGTACAAGAGTACACACAGTAAAACTCAGTTTAAGAGAAGTCCGAGTCTGATGTCAGAATAGGAAAAAAAAGAAAATAAACAAAATGACAATAATACATAAATAACAACAGACTACTAGCAGTTACTGACATGCCAGCTCCAGACCCCAATTAAACTGATTGAAAGATTATGTCTTCATCATATGAATATCAGGCACAATCCCTCCTGTTAGGGGTTTAGTATTATACCATCATAAAATATATGAGAAGAATATAACCCGTGTCATGCCAACAACTGGTTTTAGAATAAATATGTTTAATTCCAATGCAAAAACCCTATAAGTGAATCAATATTAAAGCCAAAATATGAAATCTTTAATGACCTGACAACAGTATCGTAACTATATCCCTTCTTAATAAGTCTGTTTAAAGGTTTTGTTAGCTTTTGAGGTGAATATTGACATTTTTGTGCTTTGTAAAGAATATTACCATAAAAGATTGGATGTGAAATACCCCAACGTATAAGATGTCTGCATGTTGAGTTATATTTACGAATGATGTCCTTATACCGATGATAAAATTTAGTAAATGTTTTGACTAGTTTATGATATCGAAAACCCTGGTGTAATAATTTTTCAGTAATACATAAATTTCTCTCGCTAAAATCTAATACGTTGCTACATACACGAGCGGATCGTACAAGTTGAGATATATAAACACCATAAGATGGTGACAAGGGAACGTCACCATCTAAAAATGGATAATTAACGATAGGAAATGAAAAATCATCTCTTTTATCATAAATTTTTGTATTAAGCTTCCCGTTAATGATATGGATATCAAGATCGAGGAAAGGACAGTGGTCATTGTTAGTATTAGCTTTATTTAAAGTAAGTTCAACAGGATAAATTTCTTTAGTATACACACTGAAGTCGTCATTATTGAGAGCCAATATATCATCCAAATATCTAAAAGTATTGTTAAATATTTGTATCAGATGTTGTTTCGATGGTTCTTTGCTGATTTTAGTCATAAATTGTAACTCATAACAATACAAAAACAGGTCCGCAATAAGTGGTGCACAGTTAGTCCCCATTGGAATTCCGATAACTTGACGATATACGGAATCTCCAAAGCGAATAAAAATGTTATCAAGTAAAAATTCAAGGGCAGATATAGTATCAAAGCATGTTCAATTGACATAGCTCTTTTTTTTTGTTGCTACTAAAAAATGACCTAAAAGAGTTTGAACATATGTATTCGCATTCCGACTTTTTAAATACCCATTTAATTAGGTGTGTGATTTTTTTCTTAATAAGAATATGAGGCAAAGTGGTATATAGGGTAGAAAAATCAAAACTTTGAACAGATTCAAAATCACCAATATATGCATGCAATTTATCAAGTACTTCCAACGAGTTTTTGACACTCCAAAAGTAGTTAATTCCACTATTGTCAAAGGCCTTATTTGAACAATTTATTATCAGGCTTTTGATTGTATCAAGTGTACTAGTAAGTAGAATAGACAATTTAGTAGTGGAACAATGACTTGAAGACGAAATAAATCTATATTTGTAAGGTGATTTGTGTAGCTTCGGAAGCCAGTACATAGTTGGGACTTTCATTGTATTTGGTTCTGCTTTTAAAGAAGTAGCTAATAGTTTATGTTTGTTATAGATATCGTTTTCTGAAAGTGAAGTCAGTTGGAATGTTAGTGAATTCGTGATTTCCTTTTGCAGAACCTCAATGTAAAATTTACGTCAAACTATAATGATATTATTAGCAGCTTTATCAGCCGGGACAAAAACAAATTCCTTTGCTAGTTCTTTTAGTTTATGTTTGATACGAGAAATAGGATTTTTATGGTTGTTGTTAAGAGTAAAATGTTCTTTAAAATGTTGTATACGTATATCAACTATCTTCATTACTGAATTAAAAAAAGAGTCCAAAGATTTTTTGTCAGCTTTTTCCCGTTTTATCCATTTCAAACAGTAAGCACGAAGTGAGTCGTGGATGATATTACGACACTCATTCCAATTAATAATTGACGGGGGGGGGGGGGGGGGCGATATTTAGACCCTTTACTGAGGAATGATTTTAACTCTCGGTCGCGTGAAACAAAGACAAAGAATATCAACAAAGACTTAGAGAGCGAATCAAATTGTTTGTTACTCACTTGGTAAGAATGATTAAACTAAGATGAAACCTTTTGTGTTTCAATCATAATCGGAACCAATACATCTGTTTTTACATTTGCAGATCCAGGATTTTGAAAAGGGGGGCCCCTGTCGAGCAAACGTTAGGAGTGATACATTTAAATATGCATTTATCTTATATTCAGCTCCATAATGGGGGTTTTGGCCCCTAAATCCGCCACTGTTCTAGCATTTATGTACACCAATTACGAATTTGTTCATTGATATAAAAATAAGGAGATATGGCTTGTGTGTTTGATTGCCAATGAGACAGCTATCCGCCATATTCAAATGACTTGGATATAAGAAATTATAGGTTACTGTACGGCCTTCAACATTGAGAAAACCCATACTGTATAATCCACTTTAAAAGGCCTTGACAAACAAAATGTGTTTTTCAACACAATTGAAACAAAACAACTAACCGCCCAAATTTATAACAATACACACATTATGAAAAAAATATGACAGACATAAATCAACAACAACTGCTGCGAAAAGCATGACTCAATAGATTGTTCCGAGCCACAAAAACAAGTAACATTAACACTTAGCACCAGATGAATAACTGTTATATGTTTTCTAGAGCTATCATGTCTGTATGTGACAAAATGAATAAAACACAGTGTTCTCACTAAGGCGAGTCCGTGAATCCTGGATTCATGAAAATCTGTCTGGACTCACCATTTTCAAATTTGTTGAGTCCAAAGATGCATCAAGATTGAAATATTTTGTACAAACTGAATACACATATCATCATATTATAACAAAGTTTAAAAGAAATCTGAATTGAATATTATTTTTTTGCTTTATTAGGTCATGGAGATTAAAATAATTATTTATATTGCAACAAAATATCATCTTCTCACTGTTGGACTCACCATGGCAAAAAATGACAAGTCCCTGGACTCCCCTTCAAAAATCCTTACAAAAATCCTTACAACTATTATTTTTCTCCCAAATTGCACTGATAAAAGCCTGATTTTACTTCTAATAGTTGCTCACAGAGGTGGATTCAGGGGGGACTGGATGGCCCACCCCGTCCTTATGTGGGAAAAATTTGGTTTCACAAATTATCTACGGAATCACTGAGGCATGACTGGAGCGGACCCCCTCTTAGGCAGTCAGTAGGCCCCCCTTATGGAAATTTCTGGATCCGCCATTGGCTCTTACATTAACTGAACCGAGTCCAAAAATGTCCTACAGCAGAATAAGTAACCTGTATAAAAATTATACGCTCATGAGTCAAAGGTCAGTTATATGATTTATGAAAATAGTCTATTACAAGTAACACAAAATCTAGTGCATGAAAATAGGGACCAATGTGTCAATCCTACAAAGAACACTTTTTTTGGCTGTATAATGGAGATTTTTTTTTCAGTAAAATCAGCGTACACATGCAAGGATTTATTTTCAAAACAGTTAATTAAATTTCCCGTAATCAGTATTACAAAGGCTATGTAGGACTTAAGTTACAGGCAAGATAATACAAACTGTTGCTTAAAATTATATTCATTGATTCATACACAAAATGTATATCTTTTATTTTATAACAGGAGCTATAAGAAAAGCCACAAAGGACTAGTTCAATATGCAGGTTTGCAATTTGGAAGTGGCACAGGTACTTTGGAATGTCCACAACCATTCAGGAGGAAAATATTTTTTTTTCAAGTAAGATTTTCAAATATTTAGCGTAGAAAATACATTACGTTCAAGATTAAAGGCATACAATACAGAAAAAAAATCTCTGGATTTTTAAATAAATTAATTTCTGGTGACAAAATAGAAACAAGTTGTTTATTTAAATGAATCTTTAAGTCCCAACAGTGTACTTTCTTAAACAACATCTTTGCTTTCCTTTGAAAATGCTTTCAAATACAAACAACCGATGTGATGACATCTGTTTGTTTCCCCAGAAGTTTGAGTTATATTATTAGCATCATCACAAAAACAATGCGTAATCTTGGATAAGTTATTACTTGCCTCTACTACTAGTACTGTATATAGTTTGCCCTTAGATAAAAATAACAAGTTTATGTCACTGCACAGATTTTAACACTTAAAGATGTTAAAATTAGCAGGCTTTCAAAGGCTCCTACTTGATACAACGTATAAAGAAAAAACCCAAAAGAAACAATAAAAACAACAGCCTGATTTATATAAAACAATAAAAGAAAAAAATATGATGTTATTTGTTTCAAAACTTTAAAGGGGGAGGGGGGGTATGTCCTTCATGCATATTGATTCGTTTTGTAATAAATGAATGTTCAAGAAGTTTATATATGAATATAAGATTAATGGTTTTTTTAATTATTTTTTTCAGAAGCATGGCAAAGTATGTGCAAGAAAAAGATAAGACACTTCAAGACATTCCAAGTGATTCTGAATGAGACAATTGATGGACTTTTTAAATGTATTCTTAAATAAATAAAATGATGGATGCAAAATAGTATTTTGCTGTTTATCTCTTAAGCCAATTGTTGACTTCGGATGTTATCCTATTAAAAGTGTAACAACTTTAAAATGTGTATAATAGATTAATTGATGTTTGCTAAATGCCCAGTGGCAAATATTTCATGCATGTTCAGGATGAGATGTGCCTGATGTGTATAAAATAGGTAATAAAAGTTGAGAGTGAAAAACTAAACATTCTACCATTGCAGTAGGAATGTGGGCTTTCTTGCAATATCTGTCTGTCCATTTATCTGTGTCCAATAAATATTTTCATTACTGTGTTGCCCAAAAATGCCATATTTGATGAGCTGCTTGATAGTGATGAACTGTGATGTGTGATCATTTTTGTATCTGTCACTCATATACCCTTTTTCTGTTTGCTTATATTTGAGTTTGTTGAATGAACTCAAAATTTTTTCATGACTTCTATTGGTAATGCTGCTGAACAGAATGACTTCATATTTGGTTAGTTGCTAAACAATGATGAGTTGTGTCTGCCATTTTGAATATGTCAAAATTTGTTGTTTCTTTCTGTTTTCGGACTTTGAATTGTGAATTTTCATATGATTAGCGAAACAACTGATTTATTCTTGTTTGTATATAGAAAGAATCACTGTTTATCTATTAAACTAATGATTTGTTAAATAAAAAAGCCGGAAACTCAATTAAAAGTACAGAAAATTTGATATTGATATGATATAGATATCGACCAAAACATCTTCTTAAAACATTTTGAAAACATTTTTTAGGCACAGTCGCACTTGAAAGAAAATATCCCAAACACATTTTTATCACATTATTTCATGTTCATGATGTTTTTCAAACGTTTAGAAAATATTTCAAGAAAATTGAAAAGATTATCAAAATATTTTATACGCCATTGCTTTTCACATTAATTATATTATGCCAATATTTTAGAAAATATATTACAAAATGTTTTTGCGATATTTTTCCAACAATACACTTTCATATTTTTCTTACGTCTTTTTGGGATATTTTTATGACATTCGACATAACGTTTTAATAACATTTTAAAGATATTTTTGTGTTTGCTGGGAAAGAAGACATGACGTGTTCAATGCAAAAATAAAATTATCGACAGCCAAATTTGCTAATCAAATCTTTGTATCTATGAAAGAATTTAGTAAAAGTTTTGAGTAATTAATGGTAACGAAATCCCTGACTTAATAATTTACCAGTGATACATTGATTACGTTTGTTAAATAAAGGCAACAGTAGTATACCGCTGTTCAATAGTCCTAAATCAATTTAACTGAAACAAATCCGGGTCACTAACCGAAACATAGGGAAACACATTAACTGTAAGAGGAAAACAACGGATCAAAAGAAACACAGAAATGCTACAAAAACAAACGTCAACATACATAGAAACGGACTATTTGATAACAACTGCCATATTCCTAACTTGGTACAGGACATTTTAAGAAAAAATGGTGGGTTTAACCTTGTTTTATGGCTAGCCAAACCTCCCGCTTATATGGCAATGTTTAAAATACCGCTAAAATGACAACATTACATGTACAAAAAAATGCAAGAACACTCAGGACAGAGACATACATAGATTAATAATATAATAGAACAATTCAACATGTAAACCACAGAATGACAACAAACACATAAAATTTATTTACGACAGTACACAGGTACAGCACAAAAGAATTATGAACTATGCGTCACACGAATGTATCAACGCCACAAAAAGTGACGTCACAGGTAAATTTCTAAAACTAGAATATAAAATTGGGATTAAGTTTGTAATGGTGTTATTTGATGTATTTTCTAACCATTACAAGAATATCAATATAGAATTGTGGTAGTAATGGTGTAATTATTTGTATATTCTAACCATGTCGGTTAAAATCTATGACATCAATACACACACGGGAATAACGAACGATTTGGGATATATAAACTTGGTATGGTGGTGCCAAAGGAACATCGCCGTCTAAAAAAGGAAAATTAACAATAGGGAATGAAAAATCGTCTCTTTTGACGTAAATTTTAGTATGGAGTTTCCCTTTAGAAATTGAAATGTCTAATCTAGAAAAGGACAACAACTGCTGTTTATGTTAGATTTATTTAAAGTAAGTTCCGGGCCTACGTTTGCATTCAATGAACGTATGTTTTTTAACTTAGTTCCTCGGATTAGGCGTTCGGTCAAAGTTGTGTTCATTTTTATCAAAATCTCGTCATGATGTTTCTTTGAATGACATTTAACATAAAAGTCAATGGAAATATATCGCTACAGCACAAAACCAAATTCGTAACTAGTGGAACAGGAACTTCTTACCCTTCCGAATCACTAGATATCACACTTGGTGTTTGCTGGTTTTGTTTTGCTTAGTTTGGAAGTGTTTTATGAACTTGTGTGTATTGTAGTCTTTTTAGTCTGCTGATAATTGTATTTTTTGTGTTCTTATAATGCCCTCCCCTTAAACAATGATCGTGATTTACTGCTAAATTCAGTTAGTTATATATAAGGGTATTTAAGTACTAATTACTATTATTTTAAATTGTACTTACCGACAATTATAAACGATTTCAAGAACCAATTTTCAACAGTATTGTCAATTTTCACAAGGAATCCTCCCTTTCTATGACAATCAGTCTACAATCAAAAAATTCAAATTTAATGTGAGAATAAGATGTTCTAATGTCAACATGGCCGTTTTCCACTCAAATGTTTTTCGAATTGTTCCTCGCATTTCTATGTTTAAGCGAATGTTACATGCAATAATTTCATACTTTAATATAAATAAAAAAGGAGATTTCCGACCACCTTGTCTCATCGACATTTAAATTAAAATATATTTACTCAGAAATCAATTAATTATATTACAAGTCTTCACATTTATATCAAGATTTTTGCCCACTAACAGATAGTATAAAAAAACAAAACCTTAGTATACCATCATTTTTTTACTCTGGTGAAAGTTTTTTATTAGTAAAAACTATGATTTTCTTTCAGATCGTTATTTGTTTATTTCTTCTTTTAATTTGTTATCCATAACTATTTTTTATTTTAACATTTCAATTTTGCTCCAAAATTTAAAAGTAATGGCTGCAATATTTATTTTTCTATGTCCAAACAAATACAAAAACATAAAGCAATGCTAATTTTTTCACATCTTACTTTTGCCGCATTCCATGTCATCTTTGACTTGAATTGAAAATGATAACAACTTCTCATAAACTGTTCCCATCCGGAACCACAATTTATCGTCTTTACTAGAAAAACACAAATGTTTGAACTTTATTTGGTATTATGGCACCGCGTCAAAGACATAGCTTCAGGGGAATAAAATGTGTCTTACTATAAATTAGCGTTTACTAATCAGAATAAATTATCGGGTTCCGGAACTTAAGGGCGGAATGTATAGTAAGTCATAAGTATTAAAAAGCGGACACACATGTTAAAATCCTACATGTACCTTCGATTTCTAATTTGTTTTCAATAGTGTGTACATAATTAGTAATACTACATTGTAACAAGCTGGTCTATTTGGATTTTTTTCCTAGGTTAACACAATGACAAAATTTATAGCAAAACTAAAGGAATTCTTATTCAAAAGCATTTAGTAATTTTTCCTATTGTTTTGTTTGCAGTCTGTATTTATCAATGCTACTGTTATGAACCAGTTTGGTTACTGTCGCGCCTGGTTTATATTATATATTTAATTTAACTATCAACAAAGTTAGCTCTTCAAGTTCATAATAAAATTTAGGTCTGAAAGGAAACTAAGTTTTTCAATTTGTCATGAATATCGATTTTGATACCTGATTCTCCTGGATTTCCCTTTTCATCATTTTGTCCTCGTGCTCCTGTAATTTGACATAAAGATATTATAAATGATGTGATAAAAAGGTATGATGAAAAATACCGAACTTTAATTAAATTCAATAAGGGAAAGTCCATAAAAAAAGAACGTTACCAACCAATTATAACTGTTATATTCATTACTTGGTATTTTTTTTAATGGTCGATTAAACCTGATTTTATAGCTTGCTAAACCTCCCACTTATATGAAAGTTTTTGTAGTTCCGTTTTATTGACAAAATCGGGTTAGCAACCTTAACAGACATACTAAGATAATATAATTATTACTCATTCAAAACGGATAAAATGTTACCTCAATCTTTATCATCTTTAGTTATTGATATAAAATTTAGTACTAGTCTCATCGGTCAATGTTTATACTTTAAAGACGAAGTAGAGATAATATTACAAAGAATATCATGACTACAATCGGCTTGAGACTTGGTTAAATGATGGGCTAACCATTCATTGCAGTACACAAACTTATCATAGATACCAGGCTTAAAATTTTGTACGCCAGACGCGCGTTTCGTCTATAAAAGACTTATCAGTGACGCTCGAATTAAAAAAGTAAAAAATGGCCAAATGTAAAACGAATTGAAGTCCATTGAGGACAGCTAGCTAAGGTAATTTATTCCTGGGGTAGACCATCCTTAGTGTTTCGAAAATTTAAAAATTTTGTTAACATTGAGTTTTTATAATCAATTAATATTTACAAACAGTAGGAGCCAGCAATTTGTGTTCTTTAGTTTCTGTATGTGGATTTCTATGAACTCATCTGTCATTACAAATTAACAAAGAATATAAATAATATTGAACACTGGTATTACTAATTGTGTTTCTCTTTGTCATTCATTCAAGGAAAATGAGTTGTTTGTCAGATATATGACGTATGAGTCAAAGAAAAAAAGACAATAATTTGTCCCTTATTTATAATAAATCTGCAGTTTTCTGTTATAATTGAATAGTACAGAAAAAAAACTATCATCATATAAACCTTTAAAATTACTATTATATTAAAATCTACTATTATTTATTATATTATTTTGGAAAAAATGGAAAAACAAAACATGTTCTTCTAATGTTCATTTAACGTAATTTTGATGTTCTCACCTATTTGTCCCTTGTCGCCAACTGGACCCATATTTCCCACTAAACCTTTGTCACCTCTGATACCCTTTTCACCTTTTTGGCCAGCAAGTCCAATTTCTCCCTTCGGTCCTTTATCGCCAGTTGGTCCTTTTTCGCTAATCGAACCTTTCCTTTCGGTAGGTCCAACTAGACCAGTCTGGCCCATTTCACCCGGCCTTCCCATTTCACCATCTACTCCTTTGTTTCCATTATGACCTTTTGCACCAAGTGCACCTTTTTCTCCGACTTCCCCTTTTTGTCCACTTGGACCTTCATCTCCAATGGTACCTTTGTCGCCAGCCGAACCGTTTGCACCAACTGCACCCTTTTCTCCCAGTAGTCCTTTTTCGCCACTCATGCCCTTTTCTCCTTTTGATCCTTTCGTACCATTTTGTCCTTTTCCTCCTATAGGACCTACATCTCCGAGTTGTCCCTTACTTCCAGCTGAACCTTTGTTTCCAGTTTCTCCTTTTTTACCTTGTTGTCCCCTATCACCAGCAGTGTCTTTATGACCAACAGGACCCATTTCTCCCCTAGAGCCTTTTTTACCTTTAGGGAAATTCCCATGGTCACTACTACCTTTTAAAAATATATAGAGCATTTCATCAAATGATCAATAAACTAAAATGACTGTTATATTGATGTAGATATAACTTTTTATCAATGTGTAATGTTATTGGTCCCACTTAATAACCAGTAATTGCTGTCCCTTAACGTTAAGCTTTGGGTTTTGGTAAAGTATTTGTTGTTCCATCTTCTCTGTGTAGTTTATTCTAAAATGTTCATTATATGATCTTCTTATTTAAATCTAGCTATGGTGTTGTCTGTTTTTCTTTAATTTGTTAAGTAATTAAATCAATTAACAAACAGTTATATAAATTAAGCCACCGTTACGTCACGAGAATTAATTTATTTAAAAAGTAACACAGAATAATAGAAATTAGAGTTAGACTCAAATACATGTTTTAATTACCTAATTGATTAGACAAATGAGATTTTCTTTCCCAACCAGAAGTATTCAAATGATGAATCTGCTTTTCTAGTTCCGAACTCTTTTCTATATACTCTAAAATAAAGGGAAAACATTCTTATTATTAACATTACTTGTTATAAATGTATCAATGAAGTGAAAGTTCTTTTTTTTTCAAATCGATTACAAGGTTTGCTCAAACGAATATGTAACATATGTTAACGAATTTTTTTCCAATATAACTAATATTTCCAATGGTTGATTTAAATTTGTTACCTGGCTTATTGGTCTAATTTGTCATGCTTATTTTCTAACTTATGATTAAGAAGTATCGTTTCTCTTTTAAAAGAAATGATTCAAAATTGTTTGCTTAGGATAGGATAGGAAGCGGTCTCATCACGATTTCCCGAAAAAATGAATGTCAAATCCCGAATAGTCGTTAAAATAATGTGTCCATCCAGCATTACGATATAATTAAAAATCGAGTTTCCAATTTTCCGACGTAATAACCGAGAATAAACAGCTCAATCTTGAATTTCTGGAAAAGGTCCGTCCGCCCCACAGTAATAAAAAATGAAAATACTTACCTTCCAAGTATATGACAACGACTGTAACTGCAAGTGAAAAACATATCAACAGCATTATAGTCAGGGCTAAAAATGCTCTATCTCTTTTTTTACTCGCGTTACGAATTTCAGCAAGTTTATCATTCCACGCATTAGTTTCTATACTATCTCTTCTTTGAAGTTCTGATTTATTCCATTCATCTGCTTGTAAAATATTTACCAGTTGAACTTGTTCACTCATTTTCAACTACTTTGTTAAGTCTATATTCACATGATTCAGTCGTTAAATATTCTTATCAATGTTTAAAATGGTAGCTGTAGATTTTACGCAGTATGTATGAAAATCCCCTTGATATCATATAGAAATATAGGTTGTTTATGATTTATGGAAAGTCTCAACAAAAGTGTTTTCCATTGGACTAGTTCGGACAATTTCTTCTGTCAAGTGACATATCTGAGGGTAGAAAAGGATTATACCGGCAATTGTCAAAAGCTACTTTTCCTATGCTTTTACAGTCAAATGAACGTAACAATTGCCTTTTCTTGTTACGTGGTACTTGCTGAGCACTGTAAGCGTCAAAAGAGGAAAATGTTTGATCATTAAGGGTTTTTTTTACAAGAAGGGTAACCATTATTTGCCAAATCGAGTACCTCAATCCGATCCTCTTACACTTCTTATTAGACATCCGAGTATCTTCAATTGTCATAAGTACATACGTGATGATAATTATTATATTCTAATGAAACGTTTACAGAAAATTAATTTAAAGGTATGAATAAAAAGATTTATATTTCACTATGAATTGATACGTTGTATGAGTGTAGCGAGTTTTATGGATTAAAGCCAGGCGTAACATAAAAATTGTTTGAAATATGTACAATGACGCGTTAAATGGAAATAGTTAAAACAACTTAAATGAATGATAAGTAAAAATAAAGATTAAAATATCAATTATCGTAGAATGAATTTCCTTGGAAAATGTTTACTAGTCTACAAATATTTACAAAATCATAAGTATAACCTTTTTATAAAGTTATCTCATGTTTTTGTGTGACCTCCTTGAATATTCATAACAGTTCAAAGACACACATTATAATACATTCACAGTCTTTAACAATATACAAGTGTCAATAGGACTTGTCTCAAAATGTTTTTGAGGTAAAGACGAACAATTCCAAAAAGTGATGTTATATTAGGCGTAGGGCATTACATATTTTGCTATTCGTTTTATTTTCACCTTGTCTGCAATCACTACAAAAGTCAAAAAGTCTGAAAAGACCAGTTTTTGTCTGAATTTGCATGAATTTTTACTCGACATTCTTAATTTGTCTGAATAATTTTTAAAAATTCTTGACATAGTATGAATTTGTCTAATAAGGTTCTTGATTTTTCTTGACAAGTGTCTTGACAGTATGAACATTGTCTTAAAATTTCTCGACACTTCCTGTATCATCTGATAAGAGTCTGGATTAGTCTCGACCAATTCTTGACTGTCTTAAATTTGTCTCGATCTGTCTTGACATATTCTTGACATTCTTAATAATGTCTGAATATGTCTCGACATATTCTTGACATTCTAAATAATGTCTGAATATGTCTCGACACATTCTTGACAGTCTTAAATATGTCTTGACACTATCTCAACAGTATAAATTTCGCCTGAAATGTGATCAGACTTATTCTGCACTGTTTATGACATTCTATTGCTGTTATATACTCCTTTTTATTATGGCTAAACTAAACTTTGAAGAATCAAGGATTAATTTGGTATAGTAAGATACCCTTTTGGTGCAACTAAGTTGGAATACCCTGAATAATCCCCCATGTAGTTTAATTTTGATTTATTTTTATTAAACATTTAAGTAATTGTTTTCACTTGGAATATAAGTCGAAGGTATTGACAAACAGCATTTAGATTTTTGCCGTTCGCAAAACTGCCAGTCAAATTTGCTTTACTAAAATAGGTGTCTTGTATCTCTTTTGGACCCCACAATTCATCTTTTGAGTTTGTGTGGCTAAAAAAAGAGGGGGGGGCTTTCGTTTAGGTCAAAGAATTTGTTCCCATCTTGATTCAAAAACCTTATTCATTTTTTAGAACAACCCAAAAACATTTTTTATTCAAATTTGAGTGTTGAATTTTATAATTTTTTATCAAAAATAAATATTTGTGATAACTCCTTCCTGAAAAGAAAAAAATGTTTAGATCTATATTATGCATGTCTGTTTGAGAACCATTTCATAAGACCGATGATTTCTATAGAAATCATTGATGGGACCCATTATAAATACATTTTTTTTTTATTATTCCTGGAGTAGATAATAATTTTCTTTTAATCTTTGGGAATTATTCAATTTGTTTTTATGTTAAAATAATTAACTTCATAATTTTGATGAAGAAAATCCATTTCAATTCAATTTTTTTTCATCAAAATGATGATTTTCATTTTCATATATTAACAAACATTTTAAATTGTAGTGGCATGGTCGGTCAACTGATAAGTTGTATGGCTGATTACAGGTAAAGCAATAACTTCTATTTGACAGTTGCGTGTACTCTGGGGTGTGGAATACCTTAATTTTATGAGGAACATCCTGTCCATGTGTAATACTTAATATATTCCAACAGATGACATTACACAAATTTTTCTTCTGTTAAATGAATGATTTGTATATCATAATTTGCTATTTATATAAACCACATTTTGGTATAATAATTATTTAGCATATCAACATTGAATATTATGAATGTAGAATGAAATATGTCTACAGTATGATTGGTTTGAATCATTTAATTTATAAGATTTAGGAATCAAAATTTGTAATTGTTTAAAAACCCACATTGAAATTGTTTTATATCAACACACCCACATTTGAATTATTTTATACTTTAGATTTCATAGCCATATTTGCATTTATAAAAATATTTATATACCCAAGTTTTCAATTATTTTACATGCCCAACTTTTATTTTTGTTGTAAAGAAGTGTAACTTGAAACAACAGTATATCATATAAAGAGAAATAAAGATTAAAGTTATATCATGAATATTGGTCATGATTTGTAAAACTCAGAACTGTCAAGTAAATTTAAGACAAGATTCAAAATGTTCAGAATATGTCAAGCCATACTGAGAAAAAATAAGAATGTCGAGAATATGTCGAGAAATTTCAAGACAGTATTCAAATGTCAAGAATTTGTCAAGAAATTTTAAGACCATATTCAGAATGTCGAGAATATGTCGAGTAAATTTCATACAAATTTAATATAAATGAGAATTTGTCAAGAAAAATTAAGACACAAGTCATACTTTTGGAGAATGTCGAGTAAAAGTTCATGCAAATTAAGACAAAAACTGGTCTTTTCAGACTTTTAGACTTTTGTAGTGAATGATTCCAATAGAATTTTTACCGAAAGAGATATGCTTAAAGTGCTTGACTTTTAATCGCAACATCTTTGTTGAATAGACAGAATGGGAGTCAGAATTACATTACTGTGTTTTATATAGATGAATTGTACTTGATTTTGATACTTGTTGCAGTGTGTTGCAGTGTAATAGACGTATACGAATTAAGGATTAGAAAAGCAGACATTCATTTAACTCACATCGAATACTTCTGGGTTATATAGACCAGTTATCAAATCATTTAGCATGATTAGGTAATAAACACTGCCAATCACTTGAGATTTGACTTAAAAATAAAAAAAGATGTGGCACATTTTCCAATGAGACAACTACCCTCCAGAGACAAAATGACGTAGCTGATAGCACTTTTAGGTAAAGCGAACAGCCTTTAACGATAAGCATAAGGATGTACACCTCTGAGAAGCCAAAAAGTTCTAGAATTAAACTTATTTTCTTAACCTGATTTTTGGGTTTATAAGAAAGTTTTATAAAATTTTGTTGCCTTTTCGTGTCAAATTTACCATGTTGTCAATTTTGCAAATTTGGGATTTTTCTCTATTTTTTTAGAACAAAAAGCATATTATTTCAACTTCTTTGTTATAAATGATTGAAAAATACATATCTAAGAAATTTGGAAAGGAAAAAATTGAAATGGGGTGTATAAAATCATTCCTTGTAACCCTCACTCATTTTCTCAACATTTTGGCTGATGAGACTGACTTGATTGGTTATAAAATTTGAAAAATTTATTACTCAAAAACTACTTATTGTAAATACACAATGTTTATACAGAGTTAAGTTTGAATATATTATTTTTTAAATTCATTGATATTTTCCACTTGTATCACATATTTTGGAAATAATTCCAGAACGAGATTTCAACGAGACTGAAACGTCAGAAGAATACATCCATAACCTTTACCACATATCAAGCAATATTAAGGCCCCACCACGAAGAAACGTAAAACAATTCAAACAAGAAATCAATTTTAGTCATTTTTACTACTGATTAGATATAGGAAGATGTGGTATAAGTGCCAACTCTCCATCTAAATTACAATTTATAAAAGTAAACCATTATAGGTCAAGGTACGGCCTTCGACACGGAGCATTGGCTCACACCGAACAGCAAGCTATAAAGGGCCCCAAAAAAAATACTAGTGTAAAACCATTCAAACGGAAAAACCAACGGTCTAATCTATATAAAAACGAGAAACGAGAAACTCGTATGAACTACATAAACAGACGACAACTACTGTAATCAGATTCCTGACTTAGGACAGGTGCAAACATTTGCAGCGGGATTAAACGTTTTAATGGTACCAAACCTTCTCCCTTTTCTGAAACAATAGTATAACATCACAACATAGAAAAACACACTATAAAATATCAATTGGAAGGCTTAACTCAATCAAAAACGTAAATTAACACACAATGAACGAATAAATTTGACCTGTGACACCTGAATGCAAATACAAATGCGAATGAAAAATTACAAGAGATAAATAATTAAAGTCAAAAGTAAATAAACAGGTTTAAACAAAGTTAAAGTATGATATCACTGTGAAATGTCAAATAATTTTTAGAAAATCATCACTTTTGAAGAAACCTGCGTGTGCGATTTTGTTCCATGTATATTTACTCCATATCCTTTCATTTTCTAGTCATATTAAACTCAGGTAAATGAAAATGATTTTGTTGTTAAGTATACTTCTTCTGTGTGTATGAAAATCTTCCGTTTAGGAATACCAAGAAATTTCTTTAATATCAATAAAACTAATCTAACACTTGGTACATATGGGGTGAATATCAACAATAAAACTATACAATTAGTGCTAGATAAAACTTCCTGCACAGGTCCAAGAACAGCATCTAAGGAAAAATTAAATAATTTTGATGTTCATAGTACGAAGAAGTGAAAATTTGTAGTAATACCAAATAATCAAAGCTGGTATATAGACAAGATCCATGTTAACATTAAATAACAAAAAAACATTACAAATTGTATCAACAGGTCAAATTAAAAATAAAGTACAATTTGAGAGTACTCGCAGTTACTGACAGCTAGTTAAAAGCCAAAACAATTAATAATAAAAAAATCATGCATCAAAGACTAAAATCAACTAATATACATCCCAGGGATTTAGTATTTTAACGTCATGAACAGTCAAAGAAGACATGACTTGTGCAATGCCAAAAATAAATGTATCGACAGGTAGTAGGATAGTTAGGAGTGACTTCTTTATAGATAAAAATGAACGTGTGTGTGTCTCTGTACATCCCGTTTGAAAAGAAAATACAAATTTAGTTATGTTTTAATTTGCTAATGACAAAATCGATATTAGTGCCAATGTAAACTATATTCAGTGATCTAATTACAACATTGGTACGATAACCCTTACTAATAAATTTGTCTAAAGATTCGATGAGTTTACACAGATCACATAATGATTTCCGCGCTTTAAGTACAATATTACCATAAAATTTAGGATGTGAAATACCATTTTTAATAAGTTTTTTACAGGTACAGCCAAATTTACTAATCAAATCTTTGTATCTATGAAAAAATTTAGTAAAAGTTTTAAGTAATTTATGGTAACGTAGTCCCTGACTTAATAATTTACCAGTTCGTTAAAATCTATGACATCACTACACACACGGGCATACCGAACGAGTTAAGATATATAAACACCGTATGATGATGCCAAAGGCACATCGCCGTCTAAAAAAGGAAAATTAACAATAGGGAATGAAAAATCGTCTCTTTTGTCGTAAAGTTTAGTATGAAGTTTCCCATTAGAAATTGAAATGTTTAAATCTAGAAAAGTACAACTGCTGCTGTTTATGTTAGATTTAGTTAAAGTAAGTTCTTTTTGGTAAATTTCGGTAGTATATTTAGAGAACTCTGGATTATTTAACGAAAAAATATCATCCAGATAACGGTAGGTATTGTTGAATGTATCAACCAAATGTAACAATGATGCGTCTCTACTGAGTTTGGTCATAAACTGAGATTCATAGCAATACAGGAATAAATCTGCTATTAAAGGGGCGCAGTTAGTGCCCATAGGAATACCTACTACCTGACGACACACTTTATCGCCGAAACGTACATATTTATTTTATTTTATTTTGTTTATTTTAATTTATTTTGTTTATTTTAAATTATTTTGTTTATTTCATTTTATTTCATTTTGTTTTACACTCGCATTCCATACACTTACTAAATTTGTGTAAGTCTTTATCATTAGGTATCTAAGGACGGAGTGTAGTATTAACATTTACAAGCAAATCTTGTTCGCAAAATAAGTACATACTTGTATATTTATTTATGCTTTCTTGTTGATCACCTTCTGTTGTTTCGCTGATTCTTCTCTATTACTCGATTATTTTGACAGATATTCATTTGAAAAAGGTGTAAACTTTTAGGGACGAAAGGGTCCTACTGGTTTTTTAGGTTACATTTATGATATGGAACAGACAAGTGAAACAAAGAGACATATAAAGGCGATCAAGGAGAAAAGGTAAATTTGAAACAAATCGGAGTGATGGTCTAATAGGACAAAAAACAATAGGTACAAAGAAAAAAAGTATAAAAGGTAAAAACGACCAAAAGGAGAAAAATGCACAACTGGTGCAAAGTATTGCAGAGGAAATATTGGAGAATTATGTTCAAGTGGATCGAAATGTGTTGGGGAGACATATGGCGCAAGAGATCCAAATGAAGACAAATGTGCGGTTGGTGAACGGGATCCCAAAAAAAATAAGGGCCAACTGGTCTACTTTGTCCTCCGGGAGCAGAGTTTGAATGGAGAAAAAAAGGATCGAGATGAGTTAAAGGTCTAAATGGAGATAATGGGCTTCCTTGATTAAATAGTGAACATGGCGATGATGGTAGCAACGTTAGCATGAGTTCAATAACAAGTAGAGGTCCTGTTGGCGACAATGTCAACAGGTGTAACAATTAAATAAGTTCAAGTTGAAAGTTTATCTGAATGATCTGTTTTGATATGCTCTGTACTAAATTGTAGTACATCATAATTCTATATTTTAATATGTCTTCTATAACAGAATATGGTACATCAATTAATATCAAATGAGAAATGCAAGTGTTATCTGAGATAAATGAACAATATCATTTGCGTTGTTGATATGTAATTACCGGTTTTTCATTATGACAAATATCTAAATTCATTCTTAATAAGTTTTTTAAAGCAAAATCCTGACTAACGACAAATTACACCTTTCTGAAGTATCTACTTATCTCAATACTTATGAATACATCCATAATTTATATTTCATTTTATTTGTTATTATCGAAAGAAGATTGTTTAGTGGTAAACGGGAGATCACCAAATAAAAAACCGTGTTCCACCGCCTGTTTCATATGCATTGTATATTGATAACGATGGATAGATGTTGAACCTGTCACTCTACCCAGACATATTATCCTGACTTTGAGCCGACCAATCCGCTAAGTGGCGCAAGTTTTTTGTTTTATCTTGTCAGAGTTCGAATCCACAACCTGTCGCAATCGAGGCAAGCACGCTACCAAGCCACCACCGAGACAGTCGAATTCATTGTAAATAATACCTATTCCATTTTTGTTCATCTTCACTTTTGTGTTTTTAACATTGGCCTATAAAACTAGTGCTTACAAAAGTAAACAAAAAGTATTATTTTTGAGATACAGTTTGGTAATCAAATAATTATACAAAAATGTCAATACTCTGAGTACAAACTACTGCCTCTTCAATCTAATTAGGAAGACAGATTAAAGAAGCGGCGTTTCATTGTATTGAGTAAGAAAGGGGAATTGCATGTGCTCAATGATTTTCACATGGTTTCAAAGCAGATGGAGTATTTTAGCATATAAATAAGGTTTATTTTTGTTTTAAAAAAGTGAATTAAAGCGTTATGCGGAATGAGTTTGAAAGATTGCGCAATGATTTATAAAGGAGAGTTTAAATAGGTTGTGTAACAATTGTTGTTATTCCGCTTGGCGGTCAGTATTTAAGGTAACTTCACACGTTTTAAGTTACCCAGGATTGTATTGAGTAACATACAGAAATATTTTATATATGTTTAAACAAAGTGAATTAAAACATATTGTGGAATGACTCAAAAGTTGTCATGTCGACTGTTATTTCGATTGTTTTTCTTTCAACTTTTCAGCTTGATACTCAATGCAAATATTGTTTTTCACAAATGTATCCGAGTCTCTTTGAACAGCTATTATCATTCCATGTGTTTGACAGGCCATAGTCCAAATGAACACAGTCTTCGGCATTTCGCGAATTATCAGGTTGGTGAGCTGCCCAGTCGGTAAAAGTAACATCTGTATTGTCAGCTTCCCACACAAAATGAGGTTCTCCCATTGAAACATGTGCTCCGATCCAAACGTGACGTGCATTCCTATCTGAAATGAAGTATGTTGATCAAATGTACGCCATGATAGGAAATAGATACTCTCTCTCTCTCTCTCTCTCTCTCTCTCTCTCTCTCTCTCTCTCTCTCTCTGTGAGTACGTTTTTATATGTAAACCTTCCTCAGTAATCCTGTTTTTTCCTGTATCATAACAATCGACCACTTTCGAATTATGTCCTTCACCGGAAAATTTCGTAAATTTTGTGCGCCTTTGTGACGTCATTTACCAGATAGAGGAGATCGCCTGTATCCCTACTCTATTAAAGTTCATCAAGCGTCTTTGTGATCGTCATTATGCAGGATAAACTAGAAACTAATATTTGTTCCGTAAGTACTTAATCACAATTCCCTAATGATAGCAGTGCTGAATATCAATTATAAGCATTTAATTTGCCGTATAATTCGTGCAATATAACATTATCATTTTTTCAACCAATCACTCAACATAGGAACGGAAGTGACGACGCCCCTAAACGCACGAATGATGTTCACTAAAACCAAAGTTTTTGACGGAAATGCAACGAACTCGAAAGTTGTCCATTGACTCGTATTTATTTTCTACTATCTTGATTTTTTTTAAAAGAAAACGGTTGATATAATTTACTTGAAGTATTTAAGTATACCTTTTGCAAATGATTTCAAAAAGCTATTTTCAAATGCATTGTCTATTTTTACAAGTCTGCTTCCTTTAATGCGACAATCCATCTTGAAAATAAAGTACAAATTTCATTCAGATAATGGCATATAAGATAATACAGTATAAAGAACCACGAAACAAGCAATAGTATTTATTCTAGTTGAAGCATATGACAAATCTCAATAGGCGATTGATAAAAAAAGATAGCAAATGAACTAGTATTCTGTAATGTACCAAGAAACATATAAAGATGAAACATTTTCAGGTGATTTTTGATCATAAAGCTCTTCACGTGTGTAGGTCTTAATGAACCCTTGGTTTTGAGCGTTTCTGTTGAAAGGAATTTAAATACGCGTGTTGGTGTTTGTCGTGGTATTTAAAAATCTATTTCATTTGAAGCAACATCAATCTTACTTTTGCCTCATTCCAAGTCTTCGTTGATCTTATTTCAATGTAATAACAGCTTTGTTTAAACTGTTCCCATCCAGCATCACATGACTTTACCTGAACTGCAAAACAAATCAATTACTATCTGTCTTTTAACTATAATATGAATTCACTGACCAAAGTTTTATTCATATTCAGGAGTTGAGCATGTCACCATACACCACTGGTGATATTTGAAAAAAGGCTTAATCAGGAAAAATGAGAGGATATTTTTTTACATAATTCGAATAAAGAAGGTTTATTTGGTAGAATCAGACCCTTAACCTGACAATAACTCACCAATGGTTTCTTCGAAAGAGTTATTTCCTCTGATCCCATTGGTAAAAGTGACGTCATACAAATAAAAACTTACAAGGTTATTACGTTACTTCTACGATTCAAATCTGGATAAAATCACATCAAAACGGCGATTTTGAGGTAGGTGTTTTATTTTCGATAATATTGTAGTAGTCGATAGTTGATGATCCAAACATTCATAATGGCGGGTCTCTCCTTAGTTACGACATGTCAACTGTGGATTTGATGGTAACTTTTAGCCAATAAAAAAAAATTGCTAAATAAAAATGTCATTAGCATACGGTAAGGCAGCAATTTAACAGAACAGTCAAATCAACGACATCTGTGAATATGTCTTAGTAATCTTGTATGATTTTACTGTGTTATGAGTAAAACGATATCAAGTAAATAATAATATGAATTCAAAAGTTATTCTTAGTTTATTGGGTCTATCATTTATGCTGTTGGGTTTTTTTAATTAAAATTACCATAGCCAGAGTTTGTACAACTGTTTGAAGTTTTTTGGGTTTGTAAATGCTCTTCAATTTTGTGACTTATCTGGTCTACTGATCCTAATTAAGAGCCACTGATGAGTCTAATGCATGTCTGGAGCAGAGAATTGAAAATTTAGTATCTTAGTATACCTAGTATTAATTCAAAATCGTCCACATGTTTGTATATATGTAAGTTGTGCATAGCCTTTCAATTTTTGACGATGAGTATTCAAGATGGTATTTAATCATTAACTACCTGGATTATGAAACTACGAGTTACCAATATTTTACCTGATTCTCCAGGACTTCCTTTTTCGCCATCTTCTCCACGTGCTCCTTCAAATTTGAATAAAATAATTTGGCTTACAAAATTATAATCCTTGCATCTATGATAAGTTTATTACTATCTAATACATCTTTTATGTTGGCATCTTTGTTAGAATGATTTGTATATTTGTTTGAATTTTTTAGTAATTTGAGTTGTATTTCTGTAAGGTATTTCCCCTAAGGGAGACTGTGGAAAAGAAATATGGTCACTACAGGTCTTCTTCTGAATGGCATTAAAATCCTTGCCAAAGTGGGGCGTCCATATGGCTGTGCGAGATATGCAAGTATGCAACCACGTCCGGTCAGAATGGGGACGTTAAATCCGATGTCTCGTGTAGAGAAAGTGTCTTGCTCTCTGCACATTAAGAACCTCCTCTATGAGGGGTATGTAGATGGTTTGTTGCAAAGCAAAAATTTTCTCCCTATCCAATGCACCCTTATTTTCCAATGGCAGTCAAAATATCCCCGACCTTCATCCGGGACGGCCTTTTTTATAGGACCTACCTTTTGTATTTATTGATAATTTGTTCCCGTCCTGAATATGCGTGAAATATTTGCCATTGGACGTTAAGCAACCAACAAGCAAACAAGCAATCTGTAATGTATGTACCAAGTCAGGAATATGGCAGTTGTTTTTCACTTATTCCGTTAATTGATAGCGCGTGATTGTTCATGAACTTCCCCATTTTGAAAACGCCTTGGAGTGCGATATTTTTGTTATACTGTTTCAGTAAATATGAGATCAACTATCCTTTATGTTTAAACCTATTTACTCTTTATTTTAACAATATGATAACCTTAGTCAATCGTTTCTGTAATCAAATTATACAGGCAAACAACACATGAACAAGATTTAAGATTGCATAGCGGTAAATTATACACTCTGCTATTATAAATGATTTTAAATTGTTATCAATAATAGAATAGAACAATTAATACAAATGAATATTTAACAATAATTTCTAATTTAAGGCATTAATACACTTAGCATTCAAGTTAGATTGACGTTTAATGAATTTTATATACTTGTACCTTTTTGACCATTGTCGCCACTAGGACCCTCATTTCCAATTGCACCCTTGTCACCGTTGATACCCTTTTCGCCATGTATACCTTTTAAGCCTTTATCTCCAATTGGTCCTCTTTCACCTGTTAGACCCTTTTCTCCATTTTGACCTTTCATTCCAGTTGGTCCCTTTTCTCCAAATGGACCTTTATCTCCTATTTGTCCCTTGGCTCCACTTGAACCTTTGTCTCCTATTTCGCCTTTGTCGCCCGATACGCCAGTTAAACCTCTTAGTCCATAATCACCTCTCTCACCTTTCTCTCCCTTATCGCCAGCGTTGCATTGTGTTCCCAACGGACCTGTTTTGAAATTAGAACCAGCTTTATCTCTGAAGACCTTTTCAACTTTAGTTGGCGCTTCCAATCCTCTGTTACTTTTTAATGAAGAACATTTCATCAAACGAAGTAAAAAAACGAAGGTCAACTATATACCCAAACAGAAAAATAAGTGAACAAATTGCTTTCAAATCGTACTCAAATCTCTTTTTTTTTATTCTGCGATTTGTTAGTACCATTTGCTTGCGATTCATTTAAGAAATTATAAACAAATCAGAATTCGCCAAATTCCCAAAACTGATTTCTTTGTGATTTCTTTCACTTGTATGGTTTGTAAGCAATTTGTTTCTGTTTTTGTGCGATTTCTTTATGATTTGTTTACTTAGAATATCGTATAAAAAGATTTCAAAAAGATTTGTTAGCTTTGTTAGCTAAAATGTGTGGTTTCGTTATGATTTGTTTACTTGGAATATCATAGGAAATGATTTGAAAATGATTTGTTAACTTTGTTAGCTATCATGGCGTGATTCATTAATGATTTGCTACAATAAAAACAATGTTGTTGCGTTCGGATTTTCTGGGTTTGTCTTTATCTCTGACTTCCGGTTGAGATCAAATTCAAATTTCAAATACTGTTCTATATTAATTGAACAAAGAAGGTTGCAAGATGAAGAATATGATATCCTATCAATCATGACAGTGGTAAATATCTTAGTCATTAAATTATTATTTCACACATTCAATTAATATTTTTCTAACTTTTCAAAGGCGTTAACCTTTTAAATTCGGAAACTGTGCATTTCAGTATCTCCTAATAATTTTGTACTGTCAGGATAAATTTTCAAAATAAAAATGTGTAAAAGACGTGTAAACAGATGGAGGCATGCAATTAAAGACTAGCTTCCCGGATCAGCAGACAAAATTCACTGGCAAGTTTTAAGTTTTAATTTTTCATGATGTTTACTGACCAGGTCTATGGCAGTAGGGGCTAAGCTACATGAGCAAATTTCGACCCAGACTAAGACCCATCGCATATTCGACATCCTTCTAGTAACCGTGGTTGGTCATGTGGTTGTCAAATCTCGTTAGAATCAAATTCGGGAGAAGTGAGAGAAACCTTTCACAGAGGGAACAATTCGTCCCTCATGGCAACTAGAAATAGTAATCCCTTAACAATCAGAGGAGTAGCTAAGATAACTTCAAGACAAGTGCACTTCAAAGTTTGGGGGTCTCAGGGGCAGAACATATTTTTGATCCAGATGTAAATGATTTAATCTGTGAATTGATGATTGATGTCAATTTATTGACGATTTGCTTGTGATTTGCTTGAGGTAGGAATATGATGTACTTCTGATTTGTTAAAGATTTGATAACAATTTGTTTATAATTTCTTTACAATTTAAAACAGATTTGTTTGTGATTTACTTGAAGTAGGAAAGCAATTACCTCTGATTTGTTAATGATTTCAAAACAATTTCTTGACAATTTGTTTATGATTTACTTATGAATTGGAAGCAATTTGTTTGTGATTTGTTAGCTCATTTGCATGTAGAATTTTATCACTTTCAAATCATAAAGAAATCATACGATTTGGTTATCATTTGTTACCATGATTTGTTCCACAATTTTTTGTTTGTTTGGGCAATTAAAAAGTGAGGTTAATGAGACGGTATTTAATCCAGACCAAATAAAATAGAAAAGGTGAATTTAAATTCTTCAACATTGTACAAGTGGCTATACTTTTTGTCAATGCAAAATCGCCAAGATACTGCATCAATGTTTTACAAATAACCATACACTATGCAAGATCAGCCACCAATTGCAAATTTAGCAATCAAACAGAAATAATTAATACAAGTTCCTGAGTCTCGATATACACATAAACAATGAAGTTAAACATATATCTATCTTATCCATTCCGTGTTTTATCTCAATAAGGGTGAATTATCAAAAAAGAGATACAAAAGGGATAATCAAACTCATAAGTCGATAATAAACTGACAATGCAATGTAAACCGACCAAAAGACAAACAACAGATACAAAATTCAACATAGAAACCTAAAGACTGAGCAACACGAACCCCACCAAAAACCGAGGAGACCTCATGGCTCTGGAGGAGAAAGCAGATCCTGCTCCACATGTGGCACCCGTCTTGTTGCTGATGTAAGTACAAATCTAGTGATAAATCGGTAGTCACATTCGACTAAAAGAGGACCGAATTGTGGTTACTATTGGACTATGACAAAAGTGCATACAAGAAAGTACCATAAAAGTCAGTACATCAAACTCATTTAACTTTATAGTGTTGTTTAAACCAAGTTGCACAAAATCATGTACAATTTTTATTACGAAGAAACTCCCATATGAACAAAGCATTCCTCGGATATATTTACACTTTATCAACCAAGTAGAATATTAGTATGGAGATATTTTGTTACTGAATCAATTAGATAATGCAAAGTAGCAAACATACACAACTGAAAACTTAAACATACGTCAAATATGCATACCAAGCTATTATTTAATATTTTCGGATTTTAGATTCTATCTTTTTCATCTTTATCTCTTTTTTAATTATAGTTTGTGAAAGCAATAAAGGTAAAAGAAATGAAAAAAAAGGTCAATTCTATTTTGAATATTACACATCCCTACAATATAAAAGAACATGCAGTGACAGGTATATTCGTATTGAGAATTCATATTGATTTGCAATAACTACACGATATATTTTTTCCTGTGGATACTCCATGCAATGGCAATTTACACCATTTACCATATCTGTTGTAAGTATCATTCCCTAATTAACCATAAAACTAGCTCAGGCGTGGTTGATCTTAGATCGTGTTTGTTTAATGTCCTTGGCTTTCCAAAATTTTGGTCTCGAACGTAACCTGATTCAATGTGATTATAGTTAATCCAGAATCACGTGACATGCACACGAAAACTTGTATCATAGATTGTTTTGTTATACGTTTCCCGAATAAATCTTAGGTAAACCGTGTGCTAGTATCGAGGTTTAAACTCTTCAAGTATACATGCACTTACTTGATATCTGAACTAGTCTATCTACACTTGTTATTTTCGAAGCATTAAAAGTCAATTCTTGTATCTGCGTTTCTAGTCTTGCAAACTTCTCAATATAAGCTGAAAAAAATATCTGATGTTCAATTGATTATTAAATATTATTAGCATAAAAGGTTAGATGAATATGAGTATCTATTATTCAATGTTCTCTGACATCGTATTGATTCTAACATATAATTAACCTTGCTAGTAAATAGTTATTTATTTATACTTGTGGTAGGCTTACGTCATTTACGGGCATTTATGATTATCATTTTAATTCTATATCTGTGTTGTATCATTTCTGATAAGATGGGGCTATTTTTTCCGCTGCGTTTTTTTGGTACCTGTAGAGTGATATTGGTAGTCTTTTGTTGTGTCTTTTTGGGGTTTATTTTTAGGGAGGGTGTGTTTCGGGAAGTTTTGGTGGAATTTTTTGGTGGCTTTGTGTTTGTTTTTTTTTTTGTTTTTTTTTTCTTGCTTTTTTATATTTAGTCATTGAACACACCTAAAATAGTCTCTGCAAACTTTGTTTACAACTTCTTATTGACTCGGAACCAATTTGAGTTTAATGACAATATATAAACCTCTAGATGTATTTTGTGTCTCTTGGTTACTGTTTCATTAACCATGTCGACCCACACTTTCCTTTAATTTTGGCTTGATAGTACGATGTTGAAATGTTTCTCGTGTCACAGTTACAATATCTTGAAGCGAATTAAGTAAATAAGTGTATCATCTAAAATCCATATCATCTAAAACCCATAAATCAATTTGTTAATGTATATTGTCATTAATAGAATTTTTTCCTAAATGAAAATAATTTCAGGGATTCAAATATGCTTACCATTCAAATATGCAACTGTCAGAGAAATACAAATTAACTGCACTACTATAAAGAGTAAAATTAATTTATCTCTATTCCTTGTTGTCCATTCGTTTGATGTGTTTTGTCATTTGATTTTGCCATGTGATTAGGGACTTTCCGATTGAATTTTCCTCGGAGTTCAGTATTTTTGTGATTTTACTTTTTCCTAACAGCCTTGTGAATTTTAGCAAGTTTCTGATTCCACACATTAGTTTTGATATTATCCACACTCTGAAAGTCTTCCGTTTCTAGAATATTTACAAGCTCAACTTGATCCCCCATGTTTAATTATGACGATGTTGCTTCTTTGAATTGTCTTCCTTTTTAATGATCTTAACAAAGCCGTAACTTTTATACGCAGTGCTTAAAACTTCTTCCATATGTGTTGAATTTATTTTCAAACAATAAAATTTGTTTAATTGTACTGAACGATTTAACAATTTTCAAGAGATACACACTTCATGATGACTTCCGACTAACCTCAATTATCATATGTATGAATGTGATCTACTACAATGCTGCGGTCACATAGTTCACATTAAGGAAGTACTTGTAAATCATTCTAGGTCAGTTAAATTAAATTTGAGAACTACATTCTGCTTAGTTCCATGAATCTCATTGGGGTTTCATTTGTGTATTTGTTTACTTTATACTACTTAGATAGTATTGGATAACACATCATTGCTTAATTTTATGATGTAGAACAATTTTACAATAAAAAATTTGTAGCCTCTATGACATGTGTGAGGTCCAGAATAAATTAACAAGTTGGACTCTTTCCTAAGTTATATATTGATGGTTCATAGGTTGATATATGACAAATATATACATATTGATATGTCGTCGTTTTATATGTGACCATTTCACTGACTCGGGATATTCATTGTAGTGAGGACAAAACACACACAACAATATGATGCTCAGATATGCATTATTGACTTCTTGAAATTATTTGTGAAATCAAATGATAAATGATTTGTGTAAAGAATGTTTAGAAGTCTAGAAAAACAATCGATTAGAACTATGGCAAACATATAGGATAAAAGAAGTTTATATCAAGCTTAATCTTAGTTTAAGTTCAGATGATGTTCATGGATAAAACTATAAATAGATATTCTAATACAAAATATTGTTGTATGTGGTCCTTTATTACTAACCAAATGAAAGTTTTCCACAGAGTCGTCTGCTCTTAACCGGGGTATTTAAACTTTTGTCTATTCTCTTGTCCTTTTGAATAAATACAATAGCTATTGTTCTCTGTGTAGTTTTTCACTGGGACCTTTAAATTTCTTCAAGGAGAAATCTATCACTCATTGATTAATTTACCTGACCTAAAAATTATCTTCTTTTTTGGGGGAAATAGTTGTATAAACTCGCATAAACTGCATGCAATATTGTATTTAATCAATATCAATAATATATTTTCAATCTGTTAAATATAAACACTGATTTAATTATAAAAAGTTTATTTCTGACAAAATTTTTAGTATTGTTCCAATGAATTTGCGTGTTTTTGTTGTTGTTCAGTTATAGAATACATTTATCAAGACCTTGATTTAAACACAATAATTTTCAAGTTTTTATTTGTCAAACACTTTGTTCAGAAATCAACTTTTAATTTTTGAATCAGTGTTTATATTGAAACTATTAAAACATTTGTAAAAATGAATTATTGATATTGAATAAATACAACACCACATGCAGTTTTTAGTCCTTATTTAGTATTTGTACGTGTATTGTCATTATTGACAGTTCAATTATTTGTTCAGTTAAATTAATTAGTGAGTTATAGATTTCTCTTGGAAGAAATTTAAAGGTCCCATCAAATAAACTACACAGAGAACAATAGCTATTGTATTTAATAGATGGGACAAAAGAACTTACAAAAGTTTAAATCGACAGGTAACTTGCTAGTGAATCTGTGGAAAAGTATCATTGGGTTCGCAATAATTCATTGTTATTGACATTTATTTGAAGACAAGGTTGACTTATGGATAGTTTGTATTCAAATATTTGGTTTGCTGTCTCAGAGCCGTTTTATCAGCGTTATTTTTTTCCATAGAAAAATACAAATTTTGCATGCACAGTGATTGCTTTTGTCAGCATATACTAGTGCTATAATATTACATCTGTTAATTTTGTGTTTTCCCCGATGTAAACACAATTTGAAACAATGAATGCATTTTGTCATTTCTAAATACATAGTTCCTTTTTTATAAGTACATACTTCCTTGTGCTTATAAAACAGGAAAAATAAGCTATTGTATCAAAGGATAATTATTGTCAGAAATAAAAAAATCTGGTGAATTTGTGGCGTCCATCCTGAAGTATTTAAATTGTAGACTATTGATATACATAATATACCAACATCAATTTTCAAACCAAAAGGTTTATTTTGATGAATCAAGTCAAACCATGTTCATAATTTATTTCACCTTTGCCCAATTTAACAATAAATGGCAAACCCTACTAACAATTCCTCCCTCTCAAATGATTTGTCTGTTTGCATAAGTCTGTTTTCTCTCCGGCGACAATTAATCTTAAAAAAAGATGCAAATTCATTAGAATTTATATTCTAATAGAATTTTGTTCAGTAATTTTTTTCTATTCTCGTCTTATTCTTTGTTTCCAGCTGTAATTCAGTTTTTGTCAGATGTCTTTAAACATCTGCAGCCTTATTGCCCTTGAGTGCTTTTTCATCAGTTAAAACTCACTTTCCTTCATTACGTGTAAAGTCGATCCGACAAATACCTGTATCCTTGATCTATCATTTCCCTGTTATTCTGTGTTTTCCTAACACCTTTACTATCCGCTTGACTCTTGGCACAAATATAAATTCGGCTGTTTTCTGCTCTATGGTCGGGTTTTTGTCTCTTTGACACATTCCCCATTTCCATTCTCAATTTTATTTATCTCTCAGTCTTTAATTTTCTATTTTGTGTGTTTTGTACTTTTGTTTGTCTTCTCTACTTTTTGGTTTTTTTTTTGGTTTTGTCATGGCTTCGACTTATGAGTTTGAAAGTCCCCTTTTGTATTCTTTGTCTGTACTTTACCTATCATCAACTTTCTTGCCCTCCACCTCAAACCAACTTTCTCAACCTTTCGGTCTTCTTTCTTAAAGTTAACCATCCTTTCTCACTTGTCCTTCAAAAAGAAAAGCGCACTTGAATTTTCTGTCTCTTTTGCAAAGAGAGGGTCTATACTGTTAATATTCATTCTTTACGTTTATTTTTTTATATTCACTGTTATCACTAATATTTCCTTTTGCGATGTAAATTTCTGTCCTACCTATAACCTTTTTATCTGCTATGCTTTATGGAGATCTTGCATTCCTCTGTTTCTTTTCATAAAGAAATAAATGTGTGAATTTCATTAGTTTAAAGGTACACTACCAGTCAATTATATCGTAACAATGCTTAATCATTGCATTTTGTAACGTTTTTTCTCACCAAAGAATGGTTATAAGGTCGAAACTAAATGTAAAGAACTTAAGTTTTACACTGTGAAATTTCCATGTTTTGCTAACAATATCCAAAAAAACTAAAGTATGTATTTAGCAAATGTTATGATATTCCATAGCTTACATTTCCTTGATTCTTCAAGTTTAACTGCTTATGACGTAGCTACTTGACTATGTCCTGGGGACAGTTATTGCTCTGAACACTAGTGGACACTAACAGACACGTCGTAATTTGATTATCTGTTTCACTCATAGATGTTCACTTATTTTTATGTTCTTGAGCAGCACAACGAGTGTCACTACTGGTGCAGAAACTGCCCCTACCGACCAGAACACACGACTTTAACTTCAGTTGTTATGCGGGTTTTGCTTTGTTTTTGCCTGGATTTCCATTGTTGATTTGCGATTCGAAGGCTTGCCATGAAATTTAAAGTTGTATACAGACGACTTTTCAAATGCTTATGTTATTGTTTAATGATGTCGTTTACACTAATTATCCTCATAAAAGAGAAGTCAATATTGATTAAATTTATCTCGTTAAAAGCTCAAAGAAAGCTGATCATTTCTTTTGTCTTAGGAAAAGACAGGTAATATATTCTAATCCGCCGCTGTTCAAAGCATTACTATCAATAATTACGACCTATTATCGGATTTAAACAGCATTAACACGACGGAGGGGGGAAATAAGAAACCAAGAAAAAATGTTCGTATGTACAGAATAATAATTTGATTCAGTAAAGATTATCCTTTTTGCAAATCCAATGAGTTTATTTTTAATGTCTATATGAATTGATTATAATATGTCTATGTTTTCGGAAAACCTTAATGCAAAAGATATCGTAAAATAATAATTATATACTAAATATTTCAAAGTTTAATTGTACACACTTAACTACTTTAAAACTTAATATGTCTTTCGAAAGGAATAATTTTTGACAAATTGAATGTCAATTGATGTATCCACTTTTGAAGCTACGTACTGTTTCCTTTTTAAACTGAAATATGTGTGTACCATATTCAAACAGATTTGAATGTGGATAATTGGACGGAGATTCTAATTGATAAGAAAAAAGAATGAATAGGAAATAATGTATAAGGTTCCCCAAGTAAGGGGGTTGAATTGGGAATATTACTATTATTATGAAAAGTTAAAACTGAATACCTTAAAAAATATCTATATAAAATGTAAAAAAAAAACGGCAACCGTAGCTTACACACTTAACTACTTTACAACTTAATATGTCTTTCGAAAGGAATAAGTTTTGACAAATTAAATGTCAATTGATGTATCCACTTTTGAAGCTACGTACTCAGTTTTAGTTTGTAACCCAGATTTGTTTTTTTTTTCTCAATCGATTTATGAATTTCGAACAGCGGTATACTACTGTTGCCTTTAATTACCAATGTACGTTCAAAAATCTATTTGAAATAAAAGAACTAAGACAAATCCGAAAAAAATGGAATCCAGAAAAGACAAGAAATAAATGCAAAACCTTTAGAATAACAGTACCCTCGGCATGTTTGGATATCCTTGGATAAAAATCTCAGAAAAAAAATTGTTTATTTAAAAGGAATATCTTGGTATGCATATGACTTACACTACGATGCAGTATGATAATTTATTTTATTTAAAATATCATAAATTCTAAATTACATAGTATGACAACTGCGATTGAAAACCAAACTTATAGTATCACTGTAGGAGCCAAGATTAATTTATCATCTCTTCGAAACTTTTACTTGATTGATCGAATAGCTGAGTCACATGTGACGACGAATATGTTCCAGTTATCGTGACCACAATTCCGTCCTTTTTCCTCGAATGTGACCTACCGAATTAGACTTATCACCGGGTTTGTACTTTCATGAGCAACACGACGGGTGGCACATGTGGAGCAGGATCTGTGTTCCCTTCCGGGGCACCTTACAAAATCCGCGGTTTTTGTTTGGGTTCGCATTCCCAGTCTTTCGTTATCTGTCTTGTGTTTTGTTTATTTTATTATTTTTTTGATCGAATTTTGCTTTTGCCATGGCATTGTCAGATGTTTGCCACTAAC